CAGAATAGTTTTCATTCATTTATATGTATTTTATATTTTTTTGCTTCAATAACTAATATGGAATACAACCACACTTGAAGAAAAATTTTCACTTTTCGGAATGACATATAGCGAAAGTACCTAATTTATAACCGAAATGACTTACGAAAACATAATTATGGTTATACACAAATGAACACGATTATATAAATATATATATATATATATATATATATATATATATATATATATATATATATATATATATATATATATATATATATATATATATATATATATATATATATATATATATATATATATATATAGGTTTCTATAAGTTCCTAACACACGCAAAATTAATGGAATGATTTCTGTTTGTAAGCTATATTATGTCGAATTTGTCTCAGATATGAGTGTATTCATCACATGAGTACTCTGAGTTAGTGAGGATCATTATAAATGACATTGATTCTAAAAATGACCAGAGCAGGATAAATTTTTTGCATTCATCAAACTAAATTTTATCTGAATAGTACGGAAGTTTTTTTAGGATAATAAATTTCGCATGTTCAATTGAATCAACCATATATGATTAGAAGTCAAACGGCATATCCAAGTAACCTATTAACGTAATAACAATTATAATAATAAAAATAATAGGTTTATTTATTCCCAACAGATAGGTATACATACAATTACAGGAAAAAAAAACAAATTGAATAAAAATGATGAAAAAAATAAAAAACAAAGTATATAACCGAATATATACAACGAAAACAGAATCACGATTAATTGAAATAGTAATATACAATAATTAAATGAAACAAACTAAAAATAAAATATTATCTATTACGAAGTCACACGTGCTCAACAGAAATGAATGCAATATAGTTCAGTGAAACTACATTTCGTCTATAAATGACTAACTAAATAAAACTAATAAACTAAACTAAAATAATATTAATATCAATTGAAATATTCATGAATAAATATTTATGAACTCAACTAAGATAAAACTAAAATTAATTGAAATATTAATATACAATAACCAAATGAAATAAACTGAAATTAAAATATTATCTATTACATCTTCTCTAAGGTTTTCGATATGCCAATGAAGTATTCTATCAAACAAGCAGACGATTGTCATTCACAAAAATTTTTCAATTCACTCGGCATGAGTTTTGGACTGCTAATTCACCGAAGAAAGTGACATTCGTTTATATCAATTATTGATAATTGGTTAGTTATGTGGAAATTTCGAGTGAATCAAACAGCTAATGATTTGACATTACCTGACGATATAGCAAATATAGCATAATTATTCACCAGTGAATGACGACCATTCTGCATTACTGTGCTTTCTTTAGAGAGTCTATATAAATTTGTGTCATCATATCTGCAATGAAGACAATATGTACAGACTACGATGGGATTTTCACGATTGGAGGAGATAAAGAATGGGATTATGATAGTTAAGACAATAATAAAAAATATATAAAATGGTTGTCTAATATTGAATGCAGTTTAAATAAGTTTGCACCTTTAAAACAGTATATAAGTAAATCAAACAGTAAACACTGGGTAGATAGAGAGGTGAAGCATCTTCAGGGGATAAGAGATAGATGCTTCAGAACCTTTCGCTATACTGGACGTCTGATTCATTATGAACTAATTAAGAAAAAAAGAAATGGAGTGGTCACTCTGCTGCGGCTTAAAGAGAAAAAATACTATGAAAAAAAGATTGATGAATGCAAAAACGATGGCAAAAAAAGTGGAAAACGTTAAAACAGTTAGTAGGATCTTGTAATCGGAGTTTTGACCCGGACTCTTTGTCTAGGATGGATTCTGGCTTGTTTGTCGAGGATGAACTAAATCAATATTTTGTTGACAGTATCGGAGATATTGCTAGCACAATAGCTGTTTCGAGGGATTTCCAGGAAAAGGATTTTGTTGAAACTAAGTGTGGCCTATCTACTTTCAGAAAGATATCCCTTAATGGACTCCATAGCATTGTTAAAGGGTTGAGAAATTTTAAATCAGGGGATGACGTCATTGATGCATTTCTGGTGAAGAGTTTGTGGTGGTTGGATACTCCCTGCTTGATATTGTTAATACTTCACTTGAAACTGGTACTTTGCCTTCTGACTTGAAGTGCAGTACTGTTGTCCTCATTCCAAAGGTGTCTAATCCAACGGTACCCGATGATTTGAGCCAATTAATTTGCTACCCATAGTCGACAAAATTATTGAAATTGTGGTCCGTGAGCAGATTAGTAATTATCTTGAAGAAAATTGGTTGATATACGTCAATCAGTCTGGATTTAGAGGTGGCCACTCATGTGAGTCAGCGTGCCAACTGGTGTTTATTCAATGGAAAAAAGATATCGATAGCGGAAAAATCATTATTAGTGTTTTCATGGACATTAAAAGAGCTTTTGAAACAATTGACAGAGTATTGCTCATTCGAAAGTGTGAAAAAATCGGTATTAGAGGAATAGTGTTGAAATGGTTAGCCTGTTTTTTGGAGGGTAGGTGTCAGAAGACTCTGATTGATGGTAATTTCTCTCAGCAGAGGGAGGTAAAATATGGAGTTGCCCAGGGCAGTGTACTCGGTCCTCTTCTCTTTATTATTTACATGAATGATTTAAATAGGTACTTGGAACACTCTTTTGTGAATTTGTTCGCTGATGACACATTTATATCGGTCTCTGGAGATGACTTCAGGGAAGTGGTTGGTGTTATTAATGCGGAACTGGAAATCATGAATAACTGGGTGATGTTCAATAAACTGAAACTGAATAGTAACAAAACTAAATGTATGGTACTTGGTTCTGAAACTAATTGTAGTAAGTTTAAGAGTGAAGTCTAAGTAGTGAAAATTCGTGACATGGCACTCAATTTTGTATCTGAAATTAGATATCTGGGAGTGACTATTGATCCCCAATTGAATCTGTCTCAACATGTGTCTGTCTTATGCAAAAAACTTGGGAAAAAAATCGGTTATTTTTATAGAGTGTGTAAAGAACTTTTACTCTGGAGCAGAAGAATTGTATATAATTGTATGAAATTTCCTAGTTTCAATAGGAAACTAAGAAATTAGGAAAATAGGAAACTAGGAAAATAGGAAATGTTGAATAAGATATTCAACAGTTACAGTTCCTTCAGAACAAGTGTATGAGATTTTTGTTATCATGTAATAGGCGCACCTCTATAAATTTTATGCTTAAAGAACTGAATTTCCTGAGCGTTCAGCAGCTTGTGGCTCAATCTTGTCTGGTTCTTATTTACAAAACAGTAAACAAAAAAACACCTTTGTATTTGCAAAAGTTTCTAAAACGAAGATTAGAGTCAGTGTGTTACGGGTTGCGCGGCGCGCAGGATTTTCAAATTGAGAGATATGCCACAACTGCCATGGAAAGGTCACTTTTTATTGAGGGTCTGAAAGCTTATAATGCGTTACCACTTTTTGTTAAATCATCTAGCACTGTAAGGATCTTCAAAGTTAGATTGAAGAAAATGTTTTTTTGTTCTTAGAATTATCTTTTCGAAATTTTTGCTGATTTTTTTCATGTAATATATGTGATGAAATAGCGGATTGCTAAATAAATAAATATTATTACGATTATTATTATAATAAAACGCGGTGTACCTCAAGACTCTGTATTGGGCCCACTTCTGTTCAGTATACTATACATCAGCTGTTTGACGGATGGTGTAATAACATCTAAACGCCACATGTAGGGCTTCAGAATTGACTTCACGGAACATTAATTCTGACTTACAGTTCATTTTGTCAATTTCTAGAAAACATGGATCACGTTTAAACGCAGGCAAAACCAAGGTCATGATTTTTAGGAGAAACAAATTTTAAGTCAATAGCAGTTAGAGAACACTATAGGAGGGGATGTCTTAATGGAGAGTTTGAAGTCGGCGTTTGTTAATTTGAAAATGCTGTTTCCACATTGATACATACTTCCGCGGAGTTTGAAGCAGACTGTTTGAGATGCTTGGTACTATCTCATTTTTCCTGACAGGGTTAGATGCAAAACGTATCGGGATGATGCAGAATAGTTGATTGAGGTTTATTTGGGGCATACGTACATTTCATGGGATAACACATTAAGTGTATTACTCCCGATGTCTCACCATGGATAGTCGGCGAATGTTTCTTTCGATTGAGTTATATTTCAAAATTTTGAAGTACAAGATCACCATATCTCTAATGAAATAAAATTTTGGTAAGGTGTGCATACACTGAATGTAGGCTGCAGGGGACTGCCCATTCCTGCTCAACACCGAACTATTCTATTTCAAAAACGGTTTCTATATGATATATGCAAGACTATCAATTCTCTGTTGAAAACATTCCAGAAGACCTCATCCATGGTGAGATTTTCGAAGGAATTAAGGAGCTATCTGTCTCCGGGTTCATGAATCTGATGCATGGTGTGGTGTGAAATTATATGTATTTTATTTGCTTTAAATTTTCATTCTATTTGTTTTTTCTTCAGTTTTTTCGTTTCATAAATTTAAATTGTTTTTATTTTTTTTATGTTGGTATATTGCATTACGAATTTTCATCGATTTTGTTCGATATTGTAACGAGAGGGTCGTATGGAAAATGAGTTTTTTACTGAATACTGGTGTACGATTCTTTCGATAAAATTCATTTATTTATTATTATTATCATCATCATAATTTTATATCATTTTAATTATTGTGTTCGTTCAGTTTAGAAATTTTTAAATTATAATATTGTGCTTTTTCACCATATTCAACCTCTGAGTATTTGACTGTGACCAAGAAAAAAGGTTCAACGCTAAAGAGTGTATCACTTTTAGATTGCTCAATCTATCACCGTTGGCAGATGATTAGCTGAATCAATAAAACATTACATATATATCGTGGTATTTTCATGATTTGGTAGTGCACAGCTTCAGGTATTTCTTCCAGAATCACTTTTATGGAATGTGATATTCTAAGAGGGATTTCTCTTTGTTTTTCCATTCTGAACAAGTTTCCGTGGTGTGGTGGTAATTACATCCGCCTAACACACGGAACGTCCCAGGGTCGATCCCGGCCGAAGACATACTTTTATATAGACTCAGGACTTGAATTGACCCTATACGCTCTCGGTTTTCTGGTGCTGGTGTATTACCACCTAAAATATAAGAACTGCGCCATGGCCGACTTTTAAACAGACATGAAGAGCATAGTCTGGAGGCATAAAGTTTCGTAGTCAAAAAGATGTATTTATTACATACTAAATATTATTCCTGAGCAGATATTCCTGCGATAAAAAATTCAAAACATTAGCAAGAAAACAACGATGTTTTCGATAAAACCCCACTGCGTGAAAATACTTATATTAGTCGGACTTATTTACATAAAAAAGTGTAATAATGTATTCAATTATATATCACATATATTTATTCAATTATATATTTGATAGAAAAGGAAACTTGACAGAAACGTTGTAGGAATTTTTCATTTTGAATTATTTATCTAAGTATAAATAAATATCATATTTCTGGTTAGCGCAACCAAAAACCTACTTTATGACAGTATTAACCTTTCTTCGTTTATTTTTTGATTAGATTTTCTCGTGATTGACTTCATAATTTTTTTGTGTAGTCATACAATAAGATATTTGTGAAAAGTGGAACACAGCATGTTAAGAATAATTTTATTGTCTTTACCACATACACAGCAAGAATAGAAATCTTTCAACGACTCATCCAATGACAATAAAATGCATTTTGTTAACTGAATCCATTTTAACATTCAGGAATATTTATTTTACTAGAGAAATGAAGAATTGAATCTTGAAAATCGAATCTGAGTTTTCAAATAATGCGGTAAATTCGGAAAAATAGAAGGAACCGCGTGAGGGACTAATCTTAGTACGCAATAATCAAGTACGCTTGCAGTCCCACCAGTTGAAACAAATTTCTCTTTCATGATGATATCAATTTGAGGAAAATGCAAGGCACAATCAACTGAATATTTTTTTAGAGCACAATTATCCCGTGGTATAGATTTCATCCATTTATTCCTTAAAAATTAATTTTCAGGAAAACTATATCGATACTAGTTGCCAACTGGGTGCTGTTATAATTTGATTTACAACCAGGAAGGCCAAAAGTTTTCGCCATTTCAAGAATATATACTTATTAGAAACTCACCTATTCCAACCTTGAAATTTACTGAATCACCTACGAAACACTAACCCTCTACAATATATTTCACAAAAAAATTGATTGTGTGTAATGCGTACTCGAAACACAACACAATTTGGTTTCAATTTGATGAAATCGGTACGCACGAAACATTTCGTTTTTATAATTTGATGTTATGTTATCCGCAAATTGTCATCACTAGCACTTTGATTTCACTACACAAGTAGGTAAAGAATGGGGGTGCACCGTGCCGAGTGACCTTGACCTTGAAAAGGTAGGCGTGGTGGGGGTAATGGGCGGAGTCGACCTTGAGGCAGTGGTGGGGTTTGACCTTCGGCCTTGAATCAGTGGGGGGGTTAATGGTGGGGATTGACCTTGAATTCGATTGGTCAGGTACGGCCTTGAGAATTTCCGGCACTACCGATCTTATATATTTCCGCGAATTAATGCTGAAGTAACTCGTTCAAACAAAGTGTGGTTATATTTCAATCTGTTATGTATTTTAGAGTGCAAAGTTCAGGTGGAATAAGTTTTTCTGAAATCATATATAATAATCAATTAGGCCATAACTGTGATCATTCTGGCGAGTTGATAAGATTCGTGACACATAAAGTTTTGTGTACATGGTGTTTTGAATCCAAGAAACAGGAATCTACCATTGTCGAGCACACAATTGTGAGTACGCATAAAATTGACACGATCGTTCACAAATCCAACCTACATCACTATATCAAGCTTTTTGGACAAAATTGTGGACTCTGTGAAAAATCGCTGTTGTCAGTGAGTGAAATCGAACCTAGGGACTGTTTCGAATATCGTTGCAATACTTTATAGATGGATAATATTGAAATTACCTATAGAATAAAAAATTTGAAGGAAATGATGGAATGTCAACTTAATAAATTGGATGGTAAGATTAAAAAGTACAATCGGCGTATGGATTTGGAAATAACTGATAGAAGAATAACAAACGAAGCTAAAATCATTTGTGATGCATTTCTGAGTGAAAAAACAACATTGTGTGTTTGTTGTGAAGATTTAGTACGTTTAAGTGAAGAATTTAGGAAATGGTTAATCAATAATATAACTCTACCTGAGAAAATAATGTTTAGATTATTTCCAAAATCTAAACTTGTTGTTTTAGAACACGCATATATGGGTAAAAATATCACCGATTTCAGTGCTGAAGAATTGAAATATTTTCCTGTGGACTATTTAGTGAAGAAATTGAGATGGTATGAGATTCTCGAAATTTATCATAAGCTTTCTAAACCAATGATGGAAACATTCAAGCTGCAGACACTCTTACCATGCTTCATTCATTATAATCGACCGGATGAAAACACGCATATTGATGGTCCGCCTGTAAGTCAAGCAAAATGTGTTCGATGCAATCTAGTGCTCACACACCAGCAACTAAATACTTCAGGCAATTCTCAATCCAATACATCATAATTTTTCAACATAATATTTTTGTCAATGTTCCCAACTTATTCATTTGTTGAATCCTTTATGCATTCTCAAGGTTAGATTGTCCCTTTCTCTCTATAAATTCTCAAGGCCAGTATGTGAAACACCCACCTTTAGAACTTCTCAAGGTCAGATCGTCCCCACCCATTCTATAATTTCTCAAGGTCAGCTTATTAAACCCCCCACCATTAATATTCAAGGACATTATATAGTATATAATGAGAGGACAGCATTCATTCCTTCAGTTCAGAAGTTGGTTTGAATAATATCGATAAATATGAGTTCGGAAGCAATACCCAATGTATTCGAACCATACATGTTGTGTTCAAAAGTATTTTTCATCAATAAATCGAAAACAAAGTATGTGTCTGTGGGTCTGTCGCACCAATTCAAAGCAGTTGTGAGAATCAGTGGTTCATCATTGAAGGGGCATCATATTGATTTCACTACCGAAGATTTTCGTGAACTATTGAAGAGTGAAGAATTTATTTTGAGGAATTTATCTAAAGTTTCGTCGCAGGAATTCAAGAAAATTAACAACGGTACGCTTTTCTTCATAACTATCAATAACAAATGTATTCTCGGTGTGAGAAATGAAAGAAGTCAAATTTACATAGGAAGAGAAACTCTATGTGAATTACTATCGTTACAGGAGCTGATTAATGATTATATCGAGTTCCTGGAATATCATGGATTTGAAGATTTCTACGCAATGATAACGCGTACAGTGACGAAGTTGAATGGGGATGTGTTAGTGAACATAAAAAATTTATTAGAACAATCGTATAAACATTTATTCAACACAGCCATATTTAAAGAGTTAATCAAGGCCGATCCATATACTGTAGTGAATGATGTGATGGAGATAGCTTTTTAATATGAATAAGAAAGTACATTTCAGTGATAGTTGTGAAATTCATAACATGTATGTTTGGAATTTCGCTTATCGAGAATCACGTAAATACTATTGGGAAATGTTTGTAATAGATAGAATTAGATTCAACAATAGAGTAACTAATTTAGAGAAAATTTTGAGTCCTATTTTAGATGTTAAACATAGACAAAAGGTTTATATCGATAGATTTTGTTGAATGTAACAACACTTTGTATTAATGCGTTCAAATAAAAAATTGTAAAAAATAAAAAACAATTTTATTTCTCAATATCTTTACATAATAATATATATTCAGAATTGAATCATTTCAAATCATTTTTGTGGATCCAAGAATTATGCTGCTTTCCCATTCCTAAATATTTTACGAATAGTTTATTTCCTTTTCTTCTTAGCACTTTCTCAATCAGATAAATTTGAGGATGCTTTACTTTCTGTAATTCGAATTCGTAAAACCCACCCATGATATCCTCATTGGAAGAATCGCGTAAAAGGTAAGTTCTTGGGTATGTGGATTTTATCTTTCTAATTGTGAAAATTTCATTAGACCAATTGGGTGTGTAGCCTTTCACAAATGCTTGTCTAGTTTTACTAACTCGTACGAAATCTCCAATTTTATACTTTTGTTTTCTTGGATCTATAATCTTAATGTGTGAATAAGCGGAGTTGAGAATTTTTTTTTCATTTTCATTATTGACATCCATTGGCTTATAACCAGTAGTTGAGTGTTTCCTAGCATTATATTTCGAAACTATGTTATCGAGTATATCTATCCACTTATAATTTCCACGAACGCTGAACTCTTTCCACATAATTGACTTGAGTGTTCTATTCACTCTTTCTACAACACTGCACTTTAAGTTGGAATACGAGCTATAATGATTTATGTTGGACGTATTCATTAATTCCTTGAAATATTTGTTGTAAAATTCCTTGCCAAAATCAGTTTGTAAATTTTTAGGGGGATGTGACAATTGTTTCAGAATTCCACGCATTGCATCTCTCACATGTGTTGCAGTTTTATTCTTCAGAGGAATCGCCCAAACATATTTAGAGAAAACGTCTATTACTATGAGAATATATTTGAAACCTTTATTGAAGCGAGCATATGGTATCATCTCTACAAGGTCGGCCTGAAAAAGATCTAAAAGTCCTTTAACGATTACTCGTCGCCGTGGGAAATTAATTCGAACTGGCTTATGCAGTTCATTAACCACATCTCGTTTTACTGTCTGCATTTTAGATCAAGTTCAACTTGAGTATAAATTCAGCGAATAGATAAGCTTGACCTTTTATTGTACGGGAGTTCTTGAATGATATCTTATCTCCCTTTTTAAAAAAATCTTATCCCCTTTTTTCATAACGTAATCAGCATCATTTGTTTTGATTTTTATATGGAAACCGCTAGATGGATTAGCAGTGAAAGATATAACTTCAGCACTTTCATAAGGAAATATGTATTCACTTGTATTTGTATTCAACTTATATATATTCGTTTCATAATCCAACACCCCTGTGAGTTGCAGATGAAGCAAGTAATGCTGCTTA